AATTTAAGAGATGCTAAGAAAATATTCATTTTATTTTGCTTTTAGAGTCCTTTTCACAGACATTTTTTATATCTGAAACTTACACACACAAAAACACACACATTTATTTTAATAATATATATATATATATAAACTTATCTCATTAAATATAACAACAACAAATGTCAGGTTTTATGTTTGATCATGAGCCATTCTAAAACAGTATATTTTTTTATTTTTCAAACTAGTCACAAAAATTACATTGCATCAAGACATATTTTCTGTTGTTAATTTTTTTTCTCAAAATATTTATGACGAAAAGATTTTTGAATTAAAATTTTTCATTTGCGTCTTTTTCAAATTAAAAAGCAATTATTTTTCATTTAAACTTCTAATTCAACATTTTAAACTTTCAAAGATGGTGAATATCTTTGTTTAAATGTCCATATAACCACTCTGAAGATTTCATGACCAGAAACCATTTTTAAGGAACAGCATATTAAAAAATCTCCAAATGTTGGAAAATAAATTTTTTTTTTTTTTTTTCAATTCCAAAATTAAACAACTATACAAATTTTAGAACGGCTCAATATCAAACATAATAAACATTCACTTCTGTTATATTTAACAATATATTTGAATAATTCAAGTTCATATATATATATATATATATATATGAAAAAAGTTCAAAAAATAATAATGTTTTTTTTATGAAAGTATATATATATATTTGACATTTCAGATTGACCTCAATCTTTCTTCAGAAATAACTGTTTGTTTACAAGTTAATAAAAAAAGATTGATAGGGAACGCCACCTGTTCAAATATTCTTAACGTAAATCTAAAATATTTTAGATGTTCTTTTTAAAAAATAAAAAATTTTTAACTATATATCTAAAAAAATTTTTAACTATTGAAATATTTATAAAGATTTAAAATACCTTTCCATCTTTATTTAACCTACAGTTTATACATATTTAATTTTAAAATCCACTTTTTTTCTGCGTGTGTATGTGGAACTGAAATCAGAATCTATCAATAAAAATTTTAGTTTTTAACTGTGTCCTGATTTTATATATATATATATATATATATATATATATAAGGTTAATGGTCACATTGAATCAGACCAGAAAAAGTAGTTTAGTATTAAAAAAGTGATTTTATTTATATATATATATATAAAACATCAAAAAAATTACTTGTAGAGCTTTTAACTTTTAAAATCTTGTAGACCAGTTGAATCCATTAACCTTGATTTAATATTTTAAGGTATCCTCATTTTATTTTTTATCAAATGAACAATTATATATTTACAAACTCTTTTTTTAAATAAGATGAAAAAAAAAAATAAAGAAAAGCATTAGGTGGTCATTTAATAGAAAAAAAAAAAACAAAACAACAAAAACGCCTGATTTTTAAAACACACACAATATATACATCATACCATTGAACGCTGGGGTTAATAAAACAGTGCCCAAACTATAACAGAGGTCAGAAACTCAGAATTGTGCCATCAATGAAAAATAGTGTGTGTATAACCTAGAATTGGGCAGACTGTTATATATGTATATTTTTTTTCTTTGCCAATGAAATTAGTGATAGCATTTTCATCTGAGTCTTTTAGATGATGAATTATCATAGTTACCTCCACTAATTCACAATACCTTAGGTTCAAAATGAATTTTAAAAAATAAAAATAGCTTTCCTGAAGCTTTTATTTTAGCTTTAATTGAAAGTTAAAGGATTATATTTACTATTTCCAGTAAGCAAAATACTCTGGTGTATTTCAAACGGAAATTATATTGATTGGAATCGATTTTTTTTTTTAAATAGTTGATTAGCATCATATTTTAGTAGTCTTTCATCGCAATGTAATTCTCTGCATTAAAAAATCTTCTAAAAATAAAATATGCTTTTCTTAAACTTCATATGAAAAATATTCGCTGATTTAAAGCATAATTAATCTGATCTGAAACAAATGTCATTTACTTTAAGTTTAAAATAACCCAGAAATGCACTTTTAAACCAAATAGTAGCTGTGTTTTTAACCAATTGTAGCCATGTCTACATGTTTGATGGGTGATAACAGGTTTATTGTGCATCTATGGAGAAGAAAAAAAACATAATTTAAAAAAATGATTTGCTCCTTTTTTATAATTTTTTAAGTACTCAGTAATCTTAAAAATGTTGGAAAATATTCTCTGTAATCTAATTTTAGAAATGTTGACTTTAAATTTACTATAGTTATTGCTCTTATTTTCTGATAATGTCATATATGGTCGACCATACTTTCAAAAGTGGGCACGTTTATATTCATAAAAATAAAAAATTCTAATCTTGGTGTTTGGTGATTGGTATTAAGCTTTACAATTAATAAAGATAGTTTTTCCTTAATAATAATAATAATAATATAATCTAAATAGCTGAACTTAACACAGAATTTTGAAAGATTTAAAATTTAATAATTTTTTTTAATTAAAACTTTAAAAAAATGAAAACAATTTTTGTAAAAATTCATTATTCACCAAAAAATTTTTTTTTTCTTTTCTAATTAAATAATGTCAGTTTTATTGCGTTTTTTATTTTACAATTCAGAGCAGACTTTCAGTAAATGATTTTCCTTCTCAATAAAAACAAAATGATCACTAAAATTCTCCAAGGAATTCTACTTTTAATTAATATAAAGAGGCTGAAATTTTAATTTCTTCAAACTTCATAAAAATTAAGTAAAAATTATGATAAAACTTTGTTTTGATCAAGTTTGGGGCCTTTTTTCATCATGATATGCTATTTTTTAGTGAAAACATGGATGTCCCTAAATTATTATTAGTTTCAGTGGAGAATTGGGGCCACAGATTGGTAGGCTCAAAATGTTAACTTTCAAATTTCCCGAGGTGCCATAACTCGCAATATGCATCAGTCCATTACGCTGGGTTTTCTTTCTCTTTCATGTTTTGTCATTACAAAAATAATCCACATAAATGTATATATACTAATAGGGAAACAAGTGAAGATTTTTAATAATAATTGCATATTATTTGAAATGCTCCTTTTGAGTCGGACAATCCTGGAAAGGGGTGGAAGAAGGATATCCTGACTTATGCCGAAAAGTGTGAATCAGGCAAAATAGGTAGAGAACATATGATGTAATTAAAATAGTATCCTAATATTGGTTCTTATAATACCAATGTTTTGGTCAGGTGTAGTTAGTAACTTCATTTTTTTTTTTAACTGAAAAAAATTTCAATCCACAGGATTCTTGTCTAAGGGTTGGACAAAGTGCAAAACAATATATATTGGTTATTTTGTTAGATCAGCACAAAATGACATCACTATAAAAAAAAAGTAATACAAGATTTGCTTTAGGATAGACAGTGGAATGAGAAGTTTACCATCATGAATTGAATAAAGGGCTCTGTTCAAAATTCCCTATTATGAAACTGACTACAGGCATCTGAAGATCAGGTTACAATGGCGAAAATGTGGCAACAATCAAGATGAAGACATTCATTGAATATATGTGTATACAACATTGTTTCAGAAATATTTATGTATTAAGAAGTCATTTGTAAATTTGCTAAGCTACTTTTGCAATTCCTGCCAGAAAAAGTAACAAATCCTTTTGAATAAGATTTTTTTTTTTAAATTCTAATTTTTTAAATAAAAATTTTACAACAGTTTAGTCTACACTTGTTAATAAGCCATTAAGAGATTCTATAGCATTTTTATTGGCTGATCACATTCAATGACTTGAAAACCAAACTACAGATGGTTCATCATCACCAAGTGAACCCTGAATTTTTGCCTATCATAATGATGGGTATTCTCTTAGGGAGGCCAGCCTCATGCCTTCAGTGCCTATCTCAACCCAGATCTATAATCCATCACTAAAGATGCTAGAAAAATGGTCAGTTCTCTGTACTGCTCCAGTAAGTACTGGACTATTCCTGCTGTTCTCTACTTTTACAAGAGCCGCATCAGCTTGAAAATGGAGTCCTGCTACAATATATGGGCAGAAACGGAGCAGCCTTAATTATTCCCCACCCCCAACAAACCTTTTCCCCTGACAAAACATTGCAAGCTTCTCACTACTCAATTGCTATTTCTATTGAATGTGTATAGGCGAACCACATTCCTTATTTTCATCTGTTCTAACCTTCACAGCAAGTCCCACTCTAACATTATCTTCCAACGAATCACTGCTTTGTGGAACCAACTCCTAAGATGCTGCTGCCCTGATAACTAGAATCTTAACCTGTTCAAGTCTAGGGTTAAATGTTATCTTTCCCACATATTAGCATAAACTGTGTGTCTTACTCTGTAATCCTCTATCTCAAGTGGCTCTTGGGCCTTGTACAGGGTGAACATTATTGTAAAAGAAATAAAAATAAGTATTAGGTGAAAACTTGCTCATTTCCCTTATAAAAGAATATAATCCTCCCCACATTGAATTTGTAAACCTAGAAATATTTTAGAATAAAATTTTTGTTTTTGGCTTTAAATAAGAAAAAGTCATCAATGACTAGACATTTTATTTCTTATTTAATCTTATTTCATCTATTAAATACACAGACAGAAAGAATAATGTCAAAAAGACAAGAAAGGGTAATTATATCATCAACAATTTTACTTTTTATTTCTTACCATGTACAAGTGAGAAAGAATAACATGCTGATTACCAAATCCCCTAAGAGGATTAGGTACTGAGAGAGAGAGCGAGAAAGGAAATAAAGTGATAAAATGGTTAATAATGAAATTTAGTTGGACCCTGGACCTGTTTTGAGAATCTTCTTTTGAGAAAGGTTGATCTTGTCACCCATGCTTAACGCCATGCCCTAGAAAAAAAAAAAAAGAAAAACAATATATTTATTTATATACAATATATAGAAACATATGTATATAAATAAATATATATATATATTATTTAAAAAAAAAAAAAAAAAAAAACTGTGCATGGTAAACAATAAAAAATTAAGAAAAAAGGTATAAATATACATTCAAACAATCAATAAAAATTTTCAAAAATACAAATTGTACACACAGAAAGGAGATAAAGTGTGGGGGGGAGACAGCGAGGAAAAAAATAGAGAAAATGGGGGGGGGGGAGACAGCGAGGAGAAAATGGAATTGGAGGGGGGGGAGACAGTAAGGAGAAAATGTTTTTGGGGGGGGAGACAAAAAAAGAAAAGGGAGACTTTGTTAGTATTATAAATGGAGGGGGGGAGACAGCGAGGAGAAAATAGAGCGGGGGGAGACAAGGGATAAAAATAGAGCGGGGGGAGACAGGAAAGAAAATAGAGCGGGAGGGGGGGAGACAGAGGAGAAAATAGGAGAAAATAGAGCAATGAGGGAGAGGGGGGAGACAGTGAGGAGAAAATAGAGCGGGGGGGGGAGAGAAAATAGAGGGAGGGGAGACAAGTAAAGGGGGGGGAGACAGGGGAGAAAAATGGGGAGAAAATAGAGGGAGGGGAGACGGGGGGGGAGACAGCGAGGAGAAAATAGGAGGGGGGGGGGGGGGAGACAGTTAGGAGGAGAGCTAGGAAACGTAGTGGAGAGAAAAGAAAAGAGATGGTACACAGAGAGAGAGAGAGAGAAAGATAAAGGGTCAGTGAGCCACACACACACACACACACACAAAAAAAAAAATCAAACGTGATCTTTCAAGTATTTTTATATAACATTTCAGTTTTTAAATGTCTTGCATGACTGACATTTTCTAATACAAGCAAAACTAATTACAAATTATGATTAGTGACTAATGTAACTGTCAAAACAATTAAGCTGAAAGTTAAATAAAATGTCATGCAGTACTGCTGGGATTCAAACACTGATGAGGATAAATTTATAGGATTCTGTATTCCAAGCCCATTTCCAAAGATTTTTCAGAATTGATGGATGGTGTCGAACCAAAATGCACTAAATATTGTTTAAGAAAAAGTGTTTTGGTGATAATAAAAAAAGATTAGTGAGAAAAAGTTTCCACTTGAAATGGAGACAGGTTAAATGTTGTTTATTCTTTAACTAGTGCATATTTCAGAGTTGTTTACACTCTTGGTCAAAAGGAATAAGAGAAAAAAAAAAAGATATGCAAGATTCATAGTATAATGGTGTGTAAGGGGAAACAAAGGTGAATTCAGCTGCTCTAAGTCATGGGCAAATAACTTATTCTTAATTCTCAATGAATTCAAAATCTTATGTCAGTTTCAAGCAGATTTGATTGAGTTTATCTGTTTCAAGTGATTGAGTTTATCTCAGTCTTCACACTTGTCCATGTAAAACAAACATTGTCAGCAGAGGGTCAAATACGACACATTTCTAGAAGATTTCTTTCAGATCTCCATCAAATTATTCAACTGAATATCTCGGTGATTTCTTTTACAACCCCCCGCTCTTTTTTTTTTCAGATGTTTCATTTGATAATACAAAGAACAGGTCAGTTGTAAGAAAATTTCTAGAACTGCCAACTCAGGGAACAACAGTTCACATATAAAGTAAAAATTTCACTAGAACATTTAAAAATAGAAAAAAATGCTATTGAAGTGACTAACATTAGACAAGAAAGAATGAAAAGGTAAGAGCTTTATAATTTTCTATTGCAGAGGCAGAGAGAGAGGCAGAGGCAGAGGCAGAGAGAGAGAGAGAGGCAGAGGCAGAGAGAGAGAGAGAGGCAGAGAGAGAGAGAGAGAGGCAGAGAGAGAGAGAGAGAGAGAGAGAGAGAGAGAGAGAGAGAGAGGCAGAGAGAGAGAGAGAGAGGAGAGAGAGAGAGAGAGAGAGAGAGAGAGAGGCAGAGAGAGAGAGAGGAGAGAGAGAGAGATTTGAGAGAGAGACAGAGAGACAGAGACAGAGGCAGACAGACAGAGGCAGACAGACAGAGGCAGACAGACATAGACAGAGGCAGACATAGACAAATGGGGAGAGAGAGTGAGACAAACGGAGAGATAGAGAGATAAACAAAGAAAGGAAAACCGAGGAGCCATAAATTTTGAACACATGAGGAAGACTAGAATAAATCAACTCAAATGCATGACAGCAAAAAAAAAAAAAAAAAAAAAAAAAGACACGATCAATGACGGTCACCCTAACAGAAGTGAATAGATTTGTTAGTTAGATGGCAAGTTGGGCCTGAAAGAGGGAAACTTTTTCTTTTTTTGTACAAAGGATTAAAATTGCAGAATTTAAGCACAACCTGGACTTTTTCTTCCAGGTATGGCGGACATGTCCCTGAACTTTTTCATCACTCACTAAGATGGGCAGGTTTTTCAATGCTCAGATTTTTTTTTTTTTCTTCACCAAATACACAGAGAGGGCATACATGTTTTCAGTTATATAAAACCAACATATAAAAAGAGCCTGAAACAAACATTGGTATATTAAAATAAAAATTTGTTTGGTTGTTCATTCAAATTCTTACATTAACAACTATGTGTTTTGTAAAAGAAATTTGAAACTTATTTCCACAATTTCTTTCCATTGTAGTTAGTGAATTGTCTTTTGTTATCTCCCTAAAGCCTGTTCCACCATCTATTTACACAATGAAAGGTTATAAAAATTTTGAGACTCTCCTCTTGCCTTCAATATCCTGTGAATAAAATTTTCCAAACCTTTTTCCTCATGTGTTAGAAAAACAATCTTTAATATTATATAAGTATCCTGTTTTTTTTTCTCTAAAACTTTGTAAGAACTCAGAAACATGTTTAAAAAAAAAAAAAAAAAAAGTATCCTTCTCAAAAGTGATCAGAACTCTCATGATGGTTCAAGAAAATGTAATTCATGGAAAAAAAAACCTTTAAAAACTTGAAAAGTGTGAACCAAGAACATTGCAGTCTCACCTGATAAGCTGTTTTTTATTCATTTATTTACTTTTTCATATTACCATTCTGCAGTAATGTAAACTTGTTTGTTTTTCTTTCCTGTTGTTTTAATACAACAGTCTTAATTACAATTATATTCTGTACATTTTTTTTAAATATTTAAAAATAAAGAGACAAAGACACCTAATATTTTTTTGCACTATTAATAATACTTGTTTCATAATGCACAAAAAAAATTCAAAATTAAACAACTATTATGGGACAAGTTTGCCATACATATCATCAGGCTCAAATGAAGACAAAAAATATAGTAATGATCAACCAGACTATCCAGCTAACCTCAGTAATGTCAAGCAGAAATCAAGTTCAGGGTTTGCAATATAATAATCCTTTGATGTTTCCATATTTATTATATAACATCCAGTCTCTGGTGGTGTTGATTTTGGCTGCTCTGTCCATTTCTTATCTACCAAATATCTGAAGAGAAAGGGATTCATTCTTTTCTTCTTTAAATTAATTTAAAAGCAATTTTTGAATTCTGGGGGTTTTAAAAAAAAAGTGCTAATATTTTGCCATCATCAACAATAATACTTCATTATGTAAGTAGAATATTTGATTTCATCATCTTACAAACAGCTAGAATGGGAATTTTAGGAAAACAATTTTAAGGGACTTTTGAACAAACAGAGACAAAGGTAAATTTGCTTTTCAGTTCAACATATATTTGCTTGCTAAATGAAACCTAAAAATGTGTAATTTGAAAATTGGTTTTGCTCAGAAAAAGAAAAATTAAATTATTTTAATTACCAAGTACTTTTTCTAGAACTAGTAGTAGGCATTTCAGCCTTTCCATTTTCTTAACATTTACTCAAAGGTAAATTCATAAATTCAGAAAATTTCAGATTAATCTACAACTTTGTTCTCCCAAAAATTCAGCCCACAATCTTAACATGCAATGACTGTGTTGCAAGCAGGATATAAAAATGTAATCCATGATATCAAGGTAGTAAAAAAAATTAAGTAAAAGACACAATGGTCATCAACAAAAAAGCACCAGTCACATCATAGACTGAAAATAAAAATAATAATAATAATAATGATGAGGAAAACATCTGAAAATATTTACACTTAATTTCCTTCAAACAATGTCCTTTACCAATCCTGTCAGAATTTTGGTTGAAGAAAAAAAAAAAAAAGCTTAGGCTAGATGAAAATGGTAAAATCTTGTTAAAAATAATTGATAGTCAATGTAATGTAATATCCTACAAAATGCTTTGAAATTTGCTTGAAAAAACTTGAACAAAATGATCTAGGAAGACTTTTGAATGCAATGGATTGAACACTTGCAACTAATTGTTTTAAAATGGAAAAAAAAAAAAAAAAAAAAAAACAATTTATATGGATTTGCCAATAGAGAAATTTCTAAGCATATGATGTTTGTCTGGGCCAGAAAAATTGAAGATTACAGGGCACAGAACACAATTTTCAGATAAGAGACAATGTTGTGCAATAACCTATTAATTCTATTGTGTCTAAATGGTTGGCTTAAGAAATTATGCCTAATATGTCCTTCCAAAAGAAAAAAAGAAACCAGAGAAAAATTGTTAATTATTGATACAGTCTGCTGATATGACATTAGAGTCCCTCCTGCAGATAGATCACAATCCGGAGATGACATGCAATGCATAAACAAACTATGTTTAATTACCAAAATATGATAGTATCTAGAATCTTGAGAAAAGTTATTTCTAGAGTAAGGTTTCCAGACTAATCATTGAATAAATTTCCTGAAAAATTCCACGATTTTGGGACACCACATAACAGGCAAACAGCATTTTGTTGTGTCTTTTAGCAAAAAAGCAAATCACAGTTTTATTTGGTTCATCTTTCATTGGCATAGTGGATTTTTTGGATTTCCTCAGCATATCCAAAACTTCTTTGGGTCATTTAATTAATTCAAAATTTTATTTTCTTATGAGCACTAAGGTAATTTTTTTTGAATTTTTTAAATTTATTGCTGGTAATTTTTTTTTTAATGTACTATGAAAATGTATTGATGCTATAAATTTTTGTAATGTGCTTTTTATATTTTCAGGTGTTTTGGCCCTATAGGGTTCTTTATTTGCCCATTGCTGGGAAGATTCAGGTTCTACTGTCCTGCCTGGAGATATCTCACAGGCTTCTTTTAATACTGGCAATTATGTGGTGGTTCACCTTGTCAAAACAGACTCAATCAGAGCAACTTATTTGAATCTAGTTACTGAACATAATTCATGTCACTAAATCCAAGATTGCTTTAATGACATTTTATTAAAATTTTATAAATCCTAGAAAACAAATATATTTCACATAAATAATATTTAGCATCTATTTTTAAACAATTTTCAATCTTAAAAAAAAAAAATGATTTACCACAAATGGAAAATTACTGACATGACATGCCACAAATGGAAAATTACTGAAAGAATATTAAAAAAATGAAAATTGAAAATTAAAAATTAGAAATCCTATGTTCTTCACCAGTTTTTTTTTTTTTTTTTTTTAATAATGATCATCATCACAGCAACACCTTCATTCACAGATTACTTACCAGATGTTTCATGCACAGTAAAGATATTATTCAAAATGTCAAGAAGTCCTGTATTTATATATTTTTGTAACTAATTCCAAAATGTTACATATCACTAATTAAGAAGAAAATACTTTATTAAAAAGTAATCAAAATTTTGAAAATTAATCTGGCAAATGTTCTCATTCTTATCAATAAATACCAATAAAATTTTAAAAAGTCTATGTAGAGAAACTTACCAATATTTCCAAAGATAATGCCATTCTCAGTTGAGGCCACTTTCACATTACCTTTTATGTTACAGAAATCATGTGGTGCCATTGTCACAGGCTGTGGCTTCTCAACAAGTTTCAAATCACCTGGTAATAAGAAAAGAAAAGAAAAAGAATCAGAAAAAAAATGTTCTTTTTTAATTTTCTTTTTTATTATTAGGAATGAATTCCAGATAATAAAATGATATAGTAATCAATATCAGAGGTTGGATTTTGAAATTGTCTGGTGCTACACAATCTTCTAAAATTTGTTTTAAAATATTGTTTTGTTGGAAATAAAATGACTGAAAATAGAAATGGCTTAATTATGGGACAAGACAAAATGTCAGAAGGAAAGATGAAGCCAGAAAATTTCTGATGGTTGCTGATCAATGAGAGTCTAAATTAAAACTGACAGGAGAAAGAAAAGAGAATGCTCTTTATTTAGACAAACTAGCCCAGAAAGAAAATTACAAAAACTCCAACAGAGGGTAGTGAAGGAAAGTGAGAAAAAAAAGAAAGAAGATTAAACATCAATTGCACAAAGATAGAATGCATGGTTGCTAGCAAAATGGATGCACCTATAGAGTAAATTGCAAATCAGAGATGTCAAAATCAAACAACTATAAAAATTTAAATATGTGGGAAATGTTTTAAAAGAGGATGGAAAGTTTGACACTGAAATCTGAAGGTGCACTGGGATAGCCAAAGATGCCTTCCAAAAGTTAAGCAGAGTACTAAAAAATAGAAAAACTAGAAACAAAGAAAAAAATACTCAATTTTTAAGTCATATCAGTTCTCCTGTATGATAGTGAATCCTGGACAATCTCCTCAAAGAGGAAGAAGAGACTTGAAGCAACAAAAATGTGGTTCTACAGAAGGATGCTGAGAATACCATGAAACATTATTTGAGCAATGACAAAGTTTTAGAGAAAATGGAGACAAAAAGGAAATTTATACTTAGCATCAGGAAGGGACAGTTGAAATTTCTGGGGTACATAAGGAAATTGGAAAATCTGATATTCACAGGAAAGATTGAAGGCAAGAGACATAGAGGAAAACAACACATGACATACTTAGTGAGCTTGAGTAAATGGATGATGTAACAAGGTTTAGGAGAAATAACAAAAAGACAAAATTTATTAAGAGCTACAAAGGACAGGAAGTTGTGGAGAGCCATGATCGTCTACGTCCTGACAGGACACAGCACATAAAAAGCACCAGAAGTGAATGATAGAACTGTTACATCCATCTGGGGCTAAGCTTGCAATTCCATGCACCTCCTTGCTGTCTGCCCGCATAGCATTTCAGGTTTTAAAACAAAACTGTCTCTTGATTAATCCAAAGAATAAACAATATATTTCAATACGTCAATAATATTTGCCTTGTTGTTCCAATGAAAAGTCTTCTATTTGTCATGACCTTTTAGGACAAGAGTGATTTTCCCCTCCACAGCTTCCTTTTCTTCATCACTCAAGTATATGTCTCCTTACTTCCTGTTCTGCCATCCATTTACACAAGCTCATTTGTTATGTTACTTGCTGGTTTCCCTCTGTTCCTTCAAGACATGTCTCTCCACAACATCCTATCCATTGTAGTTCTTAACAATGTTCATCTTTTTTACTGGCACAAGAGTTAACCATTGCCAATGACAGTTTTACCGAGTCATGGTTATTGCCCCCCTGTACAGTAAATGGAGCTATGTTTCTCCCCATTTCAGGTGGGAGACGTTGCTCATCCCCAGGGATTCCAACCCTTAGACAGCACCTTCCTCATTTCTTGAAAGCAATTGAGTCAGTGTAATACAGATGTCAGCGGTTGAGCAGGCTTTCCTTGGCCCATATGAATAAGTATGCGTATAGTGCTCCCCATGTTAAAACGACCGTGTCACATTAAGCGTTGGTGGGTAGGGCCAGGTAAATATCTACTATCCTTACTAGACCATGTTGTGCCATCCATTTACACAAGCTTGTTAGGTAGGTTACTCAAAAGTTTCCATCTTGTCCTCAATATGTCTTGTGAGTGTCAAATTCTCCAAGCTTCTTTCCTTATTATGTATCCCAGAATTTCCAACTAAATCTAAGTTTCCTTTTTGTTTCCATTTTCTTTAAAACTATTTTCTCACATGGTATTCTCAGTTTCTTTCTGTAGAACCACATCCCTGTTGCCTAATCTTTTCATTTGTGTGGAAATCGTCCAACATTCACTGTTATATAAGAGGATTGAAATGATGTCAGTTTAACACACTTTATTTTTTTTTTTTTTGTTATTTACAAAATTTTCCTCTTTTCTGAATAATTGTTTTAGATTTTGATGTCCTCTTGATAAAATACTTTGAAGATATTTCAACTTCTGTAGTAGTTTAATTTTGACATCTCTAATTCGTAGCTCACATCTTGGGTTTCTAACTCTTGCTGACAACCATAGTCTTTTTTTTCCTTTACGGTTAGTCCTTTCTTCTCACTTTCCTTTACTACCTTCTATCAAGAAGACTTCTAGTTTTCTTCCTGTGTCTGTCATCAACACGGTTAACATGAGAATTTTCTTCTATGATGTCTTTTCTCAGCTATTATCTGTATTGCTAGAAGTTGTTTCCTTAATACCCGATTTTGATTAACACAATGTGTCCACAACAATTATTCATCAATCTAAAAATATCGTTGAAGATTTTGTGTAGTAATTGGTTATGGTTAAGGGTAATTGGTAAAAATGTTCAACAAATGAAAATTGTTAAAGGTACTGATAAACAATAAGAAAAGGAAGAAAAAGAACAAGGCAAAATAATACTAAGCAAATAATATACCCAGGCAAAGCAACAGTAATAAGGCAAAAAGTTCACAAAGTAAGAATGGTGTTAACATGCAAAAGGGATACAGTCAAGTGATTATAACATCCTACTTCCAAGAAAGAACAAAAATATAGCTGATGAGACCGAGAAGTGGTCCATTTTTATTGGTTAGGAAGAAATCCCAGCATGCATCTGTATGATTTGTCTATAAATTTAAGTAGGGGGATGATTTTAGTGATCATTCCATATTGATTTGAACCAGCAGATTTACTCGTACAAGGGATGCTCCTTGTCATAATGATTCTGAGAGTGATACTGCCAGGAGTTCTACTCCTGTTAGAGCCACCCTTGGTGGCAAGGTCAAATATGAGGACCCAGGCTAAACACAATCGACAACAAAGACCCCAATGGTAGAATAAGCAGACAACGATTACAACAGATAAAGAGTGCTATGCATGACAGACATGCTTCAGGAGACACCACTCGAAACTATAACAGAGTCAGAGGCAATCTGTTGCAGCTTTATAACTGTATTCTGCATGTCTCATTCCATGTGTACCGCAGAGGAAGGTCATGAAATCAATTGTGTGGGTCACTTCTTGTTAAGTTGAGGTCCACCTTAAATGAATTCAGGCCATTGGCACTTTCTTCGACTCTGATTTTCTTTCACCTCCAACCAACTCTTGCAATGCCAAACAGCAATAGGGAATGGATGATGGGAGCAGGTTTTGGTTAAACTGGAAGCTTCTAGTTCTCAACCTGCATGTTGGCAGTGAATTTAGTCATTAACACAAGCATCATAAAGGAAGTGATCAGCAAAGAAGAAATTAAATTCTTGCATATGAGATCTGATGACAACAACTTGTACAAATCTTATTTAAGGAGTAATTGATTATAAAGATTAAATTGCTGACAAAAAGAAAAAAAAAAAAAACATTCAGAATGTTAAAAATCATTTTGTAATTGCATTTGGAAACCTGTCTATATTTACACTGTTCAGATTGTTGTCCTCATTTTTATTGTCATATTCACAACATTTCGGCCATTGTACGCTCTGGCATTCTTCAGGTCATAAATGTTGGAATTTCAAAACAAACTTTTTATTTAGTCCACCAGGATAGATTGTTCTAGTTCCACATGCCATGCCTTTTCTGAATCTCTCAGTTTTCAGTTATTTCCTTTTTGTGACACACCTCTCAGTTTTTTTTTGTTCACTTCTGCTGTGGCCAGGATTGAACTCACAACTCTTTGGGTCAAGTCACTGGATTACTTCAGCCAAAACTTTTATACAATTGACAAAAGTAAGTAGTTTTCATCTTAAGTAATTTTTAATCCTTTTTTTTAATTTTTTCTTGAATAAGAAACTAGAGAAATAAAAAATAAACTAAACTATAAGAAACAAATTATGTAATTTCATTCATTAAAATTAAATTCTCACCAGAAGCATCATCGAGTATATAAAGAGCTTACTTTTGGTTGGCTAATTCCAGGGTGAGATTCTGCAAGGTATCTGCTGTCTGGTTGACAACAAGAACATCCAAAACAATGTCATATTGGTTCACATTCACGTAGGCTTCTGCATAGACAGGGTCTGAGAAGCCAGTTAATTGGGTCACCTGGAATGGGAAATCAAGGTAAATAAAATAAAAAAATAAAAAAAAACTTTAATCAATTAGTGAAATTAATAATTAAAGAATATAAATAAAAATAGTATTAAATCAATAACAAAAATAAAATTAAAATAAAGAAAAGGATAAAAACAGAACTTTAATGAGAAACAAGACTGACCTTGTTTAATTTGGAGGAAGTTGCTGAATCTGCCTCTTTCTTACCAGTTGTACCTAATGCCTGGGATAGGGTTAGTTCAAACATATTCTTGAATAGAAAAAAAAAAAAAAAATATATATATATATATATATATATATAAAATAATATATCAAACTTTAAATTCTAGTCTATATTTTCACTAGAAAGGCTCATTTTCACATTCAATGTGTTATTGAATATTTTATAACAAAAATTATGGCGTTGGTTAGATCCAGTGACAAGACCCAAAGAGTGTGAGTTCAATACCCAGTTAAGGCAGTGGAGAACTTTCAGAGGGAAAATTAACAGGAGATAACTGATAGCTGATATCCATCAAACATGGCACGTGGATCTAGAACAGCCTACCCCAGTGAGTGAAATAAAGGGTTCAGTTCGACATTCCAACCACCTGAAGTTAGGGAACTATAAAAACGGCTGAAACGTTGTGATAAATATGGTGACAAAGATGAGGACAATAGTCCGAATAATGTAAATAATGAAAATTATATTAATTATTAAAATATTAGGTTAGTGAGCAAGTCCTGATTCACTTAGGAAATGGAAAGAAATCAACATTTATTTTTCAAAATAAAGTCCATCATTCTAGACAATCTTCTGCCATCAATCAGCCAGCATCGGAATCTGTGTCGGATAACAGTCCACAGGCTTTAAATAAAAAAAAAAACTATAAGCAAGTTTCCTTTACTTCATCAAAAATGTTGAATCACTGGTCTCCTTAGTCATCCTGGCAATATGTGGCCTTGCATTGTCTTGCTGAATCAAAGCCCGACCACAACTGACTAAAGCAGGATACTCCTCCTTTAGTTTGTCGGACACTCAGTCTTGCTGTTGGCAATACATTTTAGCATTGATGTCACGACTGTGTGGAACAAGCATGAAATTCAGTAATCCTCGGAAATTCCAATAGGCAGAGATCAAAATTTGTTGTTTTCTTTCCGCTTCCTAAGTATTCCTAGTATTATATAAAATGTATGTTTATTTTATATTCCCGGTCAATAATGTAGATTGCTCATTTTTGATCCAGATACACCCCACTTTCTATTGTTCAGGGGGAAATAACTCTTACTTGCAAAGTTACAGAGATGCAAGTTACTTGAAGTAGCTAGTCAACATATTTCATTTAATAAAATTCATTTGTATTTATAAAAAAAAAAAAAAAAAAAAGAAAAAAAAGTTTATACAAATTCAAATGTTAACCACCACTATTGAAAGAAGAAAAAAAAAAAGTGGTTGGTTTCCGCAGCAACATTAGAAAATTATCCATTGATAATAACTGATCTCCTTGATAAAATCCAAAGAAGAATCAACAATATTGATTCTTATCTGACAGCTCGGCTTCAGTTACTTTCCCACTGCGATAAGGTTGCCACTCTACGTCTTTCCTAATACTTTCATGGTAATTGTTCGGATGAGCTCTTCACTATGGTAGCTAGACTTTATCAATTTAAGCACAGTACCAGGTTAGGTCTCACCAATTTATATTTGACCTGTTTAGATGTAACCATAAATTCTATACTGTTTCTTTTCTCGCATTTCTCACTTGTGGAACTCCCTTCTGACTCCATACTTTCCAGCCAACTTTAATCTGCAAAAATTTAAATGCAATGTCAATTGCTATCTACTGTCCTCCTGATTACTCTTTTCTCTTCCTGCTCATTATTAATGTTTCTGTTCCTAATTCTTCCACACCCTGTAACTTCTTGTGTCTTAGTGGCTTTACTCTCTTACTTTGGAACTCCCTTTTAAATGCTTTCCAATTAAAACTTTAAAAAAAAAAAATTTAAATGCAATGTCAATCGCTATCTACTGTCCTCCTGATTCCTCTTTCCACTTCCCGCTCGTTATTAACGTTTCTGTTCTTAATTCTTCCCCACCCTAACCCCTTGTGTCTTTACTGCCTTGTATGGGGTGATACCAATTAAAAAAAAAACAAAAAAAAACAACTAACCATTTTTTTTTTAAATTTTTCTTGCAATACAAGATATGCAATAATATAAAAGACTGGAGAGAAGGTATTTTAAATGTCTTTCATCAGTTTGTTTCTGTTCAATAAAATAAGAAGAGAGATAAATTTCTAAAAGTTTTCTCATTCTTTCACTCCCTGCATCTTAGTGGCATTAACACCTTGCTTGGGGTGAATTGATTAAATAAATAAATAAATAAAACTGTTTCTAATATATATTTCTTCTTTAAGAGAAATATTTTATGGCTGAATTTATCAACTGAAACAGGTACCATGAATAAATGAAGAGGAAAAAATAAAATGTGGAAAGGAATACTATTTTCTACCTCTGTTGTGCCAAGTTCATTTCGAGAAGTTAGTTGGGTGAAAGAGATGGGATGGTCTGCTTGGATCTTTACAGATTTCTTCTCGGCAGCCTGGGGAGGAAAAAATAAATAAATAAAACATCATTAGAGATTATACACAAATGTTAGGCTGATGGAAAATTTTTTCTTCAAGAATCTCAAGAAAAAATTTAAAAACGTATTATTTAAAAAAAAAAAAAAAAAAAAAAAAAAAAGATAAAAAAAAAAGAAAAAAAAAAAGGAAGAAAAGACATTCTTCAGAGAACACCCCCTGCCTCAATGTTACTTAATTACACCTTTGTAATCTTGTGGGGGTGTAATGTGTTATGAAAAGGTAGCTTTGCAACCATGTATCTTTTAATCAACCTGAAAGCTATTACATCTAATTTGTAAGATATGGATATAATTATGTCAACTTTATTCTATAAAATTGATTGTATTTTTATGTATGTTTTTTTTTAGATTTTAATCTTTCTCATTACTTGTACTCATTATATAGTAAAATAGCAAATAATTTAACACTATTCAATAATGATTTCTTTTGCTTAGTGTCTGATTAGCAATATAATTAAAATTTGATCAGCAAATTAAAATCAAGTGCCCAAAAGGTAAAAATATAGTGATGCCCGATAGCAGTGGTTCCCAAATGGTATAGCACACCTATGAGGTGTATCGAAAAAAGATAGCAGGTGAGGCAGAATGATTGAATGACAATCAAAGATTTAAGAACAGTTTCAAAAAATGCATATGCAAAAAATAAATGATTTCAAAATTGAAAATATTATGGATTACTTGTAATTGCATGCATGAGTCCCAGTATAAATAATTACTGACTGATTTCATCAATGTGATATTTTTGCATTATATCAAGTATTAAGAATATAGTAACTAGGGTTTGCAAATTGGAGGAGAGAGTTATCATTTATTATATTATAACTTCAAATCTGCAGTTATTTCACTTTAACCATCTCCCTGTTTTTTTATTATTTTTAAATGTACTTTTTATCACATAAAATTTGGTGAGGCACAAATAAATTTTCATTCCAAAAATGAAGCCCAGGGAAAAAAAAAGTTTGGGGAACTGCTCTAAAGTTAAAAAAAAAAAAAAAAAAAAAAATTTAAGTGAAATTGACAAAAAAAAATTGTCAGCAACTTATAGGTTATTGGTTACGAGTCAACAACTGTCAATTAATTTCTGCAAGCAAGTTTGTTACCTCCCATATTTGGTAATGATTGATAAGCTGTAAATACATAATCAACCTTTTGTGGGTTATTTGAAAGTGAACAAGATTTCAAATTGTAATATCTGGTGTTCCCAATTGGTCCCCCATCTAAGTACTGACTGGGCTTGACATTGCTTAACCTTGGTGATTGAGCAAGAAACAAATTTTTACAGCACGATTTGATCATAAGCTAATATTCTCAGTTCAAGTTTGTGTTAGGGATACTTCCATTCACTTTGTACTTATGCTTTTGGAGAAGGCATAAACCTACTTCTCCCTGATTATGAGCAAACTGAAAATTTGTAAAGGCAGCCTAATTAAGAGAAGGTTACTCTGAAGAAAGAAAAAAAAAACAATTTAAAACCTTCATGGACTCAGTTTGAGTTTATATGTAATGAATTGATTTGAACGAGCAATACAAAGAGGTTTCCATCAGGTCTTCCTGTCTATTTCTGACACATGCCATATTAAATGCATGAAGGCACAATGATGTGGTGTAATGGTTAGCAAGCTTGTCTCACTAAAACAATTATGACTGATTTTAAGTTCACACTATTTTGCCCCATTAGTTTACCTTGTACCTTTTTTAATATTCTATAGGAAAAAAAAAAAAAAAAAAAAATCACTATAATGCATGCTAATCTTGGTGTTTTTTGTTTTTGCTTTTTTTTTCTCTCTGCTACAGATTACTAATGAAAATGTTGGCAATAAAAAATAAAAAAACGTTATGCAAGCACGAATGAATTATCAATTAGACTTAAGTTTTTTTTTTCTAAATATTAATTGCCAAATGTTAAGTGTGTATAAGGGTAAGACATAATAGTTGCCAACTCGTTTTTTGTGTAATCTAGTCTGCTGAGAAGCAAGAATAGTCCTTATTGCAGATGATTTGCCCAGGTATATATTTTGTTCAACACCCATACAGGGTAAATCTTTGCTTTTATACTAAAAAAAAGTGGACCTTTGTTACAGAATCTGGGAAAGAATGCAACATCTGCTATGATTGAAGGCAGGCCAGTAAACACAAAACCCTTAATCACAATGACTTACAAATTCATGCTAGCATAATGAACAATTCCATCTGCCCAAATTCATTCACAAGGCTAGAGTTACCTGTGTTGTAATTTTAAGCTGTTTTCCAATAATGCCACATGCTGGGATTACAAGTTACATTCCTAACAAATTAACCTGGTGAGATTTGAACCAAGGTCTCATGGTCAGAAAGTGAATGTTCTAATCAATTTAATTGGAATTTTTCCCTAGGGTAAGAATTTATTTCTTACAGTATTTAAAACTAACAACAGAAACTTAATTGAAAGACAGTTTATTAGGATTTAATATTTTTAGCCTTTATATAGCCAAACCAGAATTCTAATTATGAATTAATACTTTTACAATTTTTTTCTTTTCTTTTTTTTTTTTTTTTTTTTTTTTACTGTATTCGACAAGTAACAAGTGTTTAAAAAAAAAAAAAAAAATAAAAAAAAAATTACCAAAAAGAAAAGGCTACTCAATGAATAAGATTTGTTAGATCATAATTAGTGTTGTGAGGGAGAATATTTCCCTATAAGTTTGGATTCAGCCATCGGACGAAAGCCATAAAAATTACTCCTACATCAAGAGGATAGCAGGAGGAAATAAAAGTAATTACAGCTTCTGCTGAAAACAGTCATTCATTTATTTAAACATTTTCAACCCTAGTTCTTTATTCTACATCTATGTTTCCCATGTACCAAAAAGGTAATAAATTTTTGTTAAACCAATTCTGGTTTTCTTTTGTTTTTAACTATTAATTTAGTTACAACAATTAGTAAAAAATAAAAATAGGAAAAAAGTGTATTTTATCTATATTTGAGATGATTTTTTTATGTACACTATTTACATTATTTGTTGCCATATTTATCACAACATTTTCAAAAATTTTATGCGTTCCAATTTTTCTTCAGGTGGTTCAAATGTTGAACTGAACTATTTAAGACTTGCTGGGTAAACTGTTCTAGTTCCACATTAGATACATAAAATATATAGGTATTGAATTCAAAGCTCTGAGTCCTGTCACTAGATCTAACCAACGGCTTTATCCAATATGCCATGTTATTAAGGACAGTGGTTAAGTTCAGACAAAAAACCACCTGAAGAAGGCGGACATAAAAAGTAAAAATGTTAAAATTAAATATGGCAACAAAGATGAGGACAATAATCCAAATAATGTAAATAGTGAAGATAAAAGTCTATATAACACCATAATACTGCTGGGCACAAATTATAAGACAAAATGTTTTTAAATTTGCATTATTGAAAATAAAAACTAAAACTACTGCACTGTATAACATAACATCATAATATAGCTAAATTGTTCAGTATAACTTCCCTTTGAATCAAATGAAGATCTTATTTGAAGGCACAATGATTTAGTAATAATGTGCTTGTGCCATACATCTTGTCCATTATATAATTTGTAAAGCTTTTGTAATTAAATTCCAATGCTACGATTTTGAACATAAACTTAATCATTTAAACTCATTTCTCCAAAAAACGGTAATGATTTGGAAAAAATATTTTGCGTGATTATTTATCAAGTAAAACCCCAACTTTCAAATTGAGTACAATAACACAATTCCAAAATTGATTCCTGCCCATGCCTGTTATAAACAATTATATACAGTAGATTGTTTGGCATGACACATTAAAAGCTTTGGGAAATTATGAATTTTATAAGCCCATGCTATAAAGCTTTCACTGATCACCAGAATGAAATTGTAATGCTACGATTTTGAACCTAAAGGTAACTCATTTCCTCAAAAGACGGTAATGATTTGGAAAAAAAATATTGTGTGATTATTTATCAAGTAAAACCCCAATTTTCAAATTGAGTGCAATATCATGGTTCCAAAATCAATCTGCCTAAATGTGCACATGTGTCAAATGTCATGTTTATTTCTCTTTTTCATCATTTCTTTCTACTTTCTCCCTTTTTTTTCCTCTCTTTTGGCTCTGAGTATCAAAGATATTGTAGCAAGGTCATATCTGGTGTCATAGGCAGAATTTTTGTTTTGTTTTTTTTTGGGGGGGGAGGGGTATTTTCTGTTAAATATTCTTGGGGTTTTCTTAAGTTTGGAAAATATTCCATTTTTTATATTTTTTATTTATTTCTTATTTAATTGGATTGTTTTCAATTAATATTTAAATCACAAAGTAAATATTTGTTTATTTGGAGGATATTAAGTAATCTGCAGTAAAAAAAAAAACACCACAAAAAAAACTTTACCTTCATTTGTGCTTTTTCTTCCTCTACTTTGGCAGCCAACATAACAGATAAGGACTCACGACACTGAGCGTTAAAGATTTCACTCATGAGAGGAGCTTTGTCTGCCAGAACTCGCAAGCAAATAGCAATGCGGTCGACATCATCATCTGTGATGGGCTGAAAGAGAAAACATTTATTTATATATTAAAAAATGCATTTACAAGAGAAAATAATTGAAGCCTTACACAAATGGTACAAAACAAATATAAATCCAGCCATAAAAGAATATCTTTTCAATATCTTCAAATATAAAAAATAAAAAAAATAATTGAAAAGTTCTGTACAAAATTCAGCCAAATAAAAATTGGCATTTTCAGTCTGAATTTCTGGGATAAGGTGTTATTTGCTTTCAGACTATTGTCCTTATCTTTGTTGTTATTATCACATAATAATGAAGCTGAAGGACATAATGGCCGAATAATAACAATACAGAAAAAAAAAAGTCTCCAATAAAACTTCAAATTTGTATTTATCATTGTTTATATATTTTGTCAATTACAACCACAAAAGAAACTAAAACTAAGTTTTTGATACTATTTGTAACTGAACAAAATCAGAAAAAAAATAAAAAAAATACCAACATAATCAACAGCACCCCCCACCCCAACAGTCATTTTATCCACTTTTATTTAAATCAAACTGAAATGGCATTTGTGTGTTTTAATCTTTTATCTGAAGCATCCAAAGATGATAGAGTTTCATTAAGTTTTTAATAGAAACAAATTATAATGAAAAGAGAAAAATAAACCATTTCTATTCTGGGAAAGGTTAAAGCATGTGACATTAAAAAATCCACTGAGAAATGTCCAGATGTTTATGGATTTTGGTGTAGAAGTCAAGAACTATGGGGGGAGGGGGGGCGGAATAATGAAAGATAAAAAAAAAAAATTCCTTGCTTGGTCAATAAAAAACTAGTTTACTCATTGTAAACTTGACTTTCAATAAAAAGAGCAAAAAAATATTACTAACCTTGCTTGGAAGGCCAGATTTTCCAAGATGGATGATTGTAGACATTATCAACATGGAGTCAGCAACAAATTTCTAAAATATAGAAAAACGTGAAATGTAAAATGAATTTAAAAAAAAAAAAAAAAAAGGAAAAGGAAAAAAAAAAGAAAAAAAAAAAAAAAAAAAAAAAAAAAAAAAAAAAGGAAAAAAAAAAAAAAAAAAAAAAAAAGAAAAGGAAAAAAAAAAAAAAAGGAAAAAAAAAAAAAAAAGAAAAAAAAAGAAAAAAAAAAAAAAAAAAAAAAAAAAAAAGAAAAAAAAAAAAAAAGGAAAAAAAAAAAAAAAAGGAAAAAAAAAAAAAAAAGGAAAAAAAAAAGAAAAAGGAAAAAAAAAGAAAAAGGAAAAGAAAAAGGAAAAAAAAAGAAAAAGAAAAAGGAAAAAAAAAAAGGAAAGAAAAAGAAAAAGGAAAAAAAAAGGAAAAAAAAGAAAAAGAAAAAAAAAGAAAAAGGTCAGTGTCATAGTTACAGTTTTAATTATTAAAGAAAAGCAGATAAATGAAAAGCCAAAGGGAGACAACTGAGACTAGTCCAGTAGACAGACACAAAACAACACAATCTAGGATATACCAGGCTGTTACAGAATATTCCAGATTGTCACAGAACAGGGCCAAGAACATTCCAGACTGTTCAAAATACAACCCAGGATATTCCAGTTTGCTACAAAACATTCCAGGGTAGACAGAACACGGTTAAGAACATACCAGAGTGGACAGAACATGCACTAGATCATTCCAGAGAGTCACAGATCATGGCCCAGAACATTCTAAAAGGCCACAGAACACAACCCAGGTGACTGTTACAGAATGTTCCAGAGTGCCAGAGAACATGGCCTAGAACATTCCAGAATGTCAAAGAAGATGGCCCAGGAAATTTGAGACACAACACGGGATATTCCAGACTGCCACAAAAGACAGCTCAGAACATTCCAGAGTGCCAGAAAATATTTCAGAATGGCACAGAACGCAGCCCAGAACATTCTAGAATGAAACAGAATGTGGCTCAGAATGCAGATCATAATTTTGCAGAATGTCACAGAACATGGCCTAGAACATTCTAGAATGCCACAACACAACACAGGATATCCTAGACTGCTACAGAACATTCTAGTGTGCCGAAGAAAACACTTTAAAACATTTCATAATGATACAGAAGAAAAACCAGGATATTCCAGACTGACACAAAAGACAGCTCAGAACATCCCAAAGTGCCACAGAATATTTCAGGATGCCACAGAACGTGCCCCGGAACGTTCTAGAATGACACAGAACGTGCCCCGGAACGTTCTAGAATGACACAGAACGTGCCCCGGAACGTTCTAGAATGACACAGAACGTGCCCCGGAACGTTCTAGAATGACACAGAACGCGGCCCCGAACGCACGAATGACACAGAACGTGCCTGAACGTTTTAGAATGATACAGAACGTGCCCCGAACGTTCTAGAATGACACAGAACGCCCCGAACGTTTAGAATGACACAGAACGTGCGGCCCCGAACGTCTAGAATGACACAGAACGCGCCCCGGAACGCTTCTAGGGACGACACAACGCGCTCCGGAACGTTCTAGAACACACAGACACAGAACGCCCCGAACGTCCTAGAATGACACAGAACGTGCCCCGGAACGCTCTAGGAATGACACACAGAACGTGCTCCCGGAACGTTCTAGAATGACACAGAACGCCCCGGAACGTTTAGAATGACACAGAACGCCCTGAACGTCGAGAATGACACAGAACGCCCGGAACGCTTCTAGAATGACACAGAACGCGCCCCGAACGCTTTAGAATGACAGAACGCGCTCCCCGGAACGTCTAGAGTCGTGACACAGAACGTGCCCCGAACGTTCTAGAATGACACAGAACGTGCCCGGAACGTTTTCTGGAATGACACAGAACGTGCCCCGAACGTTCTAGAATGACACAGAACGGCCGTGCCCCGAACGTTCTAGAATGACACAGAACGTGCATTCCGGAACGTTCTAGAATGACACAGAACACGGCCCGGAACGTTCTAGAATGACACAGAACGGCCCGGAACGTTCTAGAATGACACAGAACGCGCCCCGGAACGTTCTAGAATGACACAGAACACAGTCCGGAACATTCTTGAGTGTAACAGGACAGTGCAAAACATTCTTGATATTACGTCTTCAGACATTTTTTGCTGCCACATGGATCATAGTCAGTGTGTGGAGGATATATCCAGAAAATACTGTTACAGAATCTAAACCCACTAATTTGATGAAAATATCACTGCATGAACTTGCAATGAAAGCTAATCAGTGATTTTCAAAGAAATTTTTCTTTTGTTTAAAATATGAAAAAGATTTTACTTTTCAACAGAAGTTGTCAGAAAAAAAAAAAAAAAAAAAAAAAAAAAAACTTACATTTTGTTTTTTGACATCGTCAGTAAGTTGAATGTATCTCAGTGCCAATTTGGTAAGGTCTGTAGCCAGTGCTGCTCCAGCGAAGAAATCTCCATTCATCAGATATTGACGAAGAGGAGGTCTACACACAAAAAGGACATAAAATTTTCTTATTATTACAAATGAAAAAAAAACAAGATTACTAATTGCAAAAAGTGTTAGATTATGTGTGCGTATACACACACTAAATTTATGTTGTGTTTATATAAGTGTTTTCTTTTCTGGACATAAAATGTGTAAAAACTGTCTATTCTGTTAAAGATGTTTTTTTTTTGTTTTTTTTAAACTATGTGTAGATTTTAACATATGGTATCTGGAGTGATGGAAATGTTCATCCCCCCCCCAAACACAGTCAGCACATTGTGGCCATGTTCATAGTAGGTGTTATTGAATGTTGGCTTTTTCTTTATTATTATTTAGTGCTTGCATTAACTTTAGCCTTTTTTAAAGATGTGAATAAGGCTATTATATTTGTATTTTCTATAAGTATGTTGTAGATGGAGTTTGGTAGGTCTCCATATGTGTGTTTAAATGAATCCTAATTGAGTTATGGTTAGATAGGCATGTAGTGGTATGCCAAATATAATTATTTATGAATTTGGTTTGATCAGGAACACAGTTCCTTAAAGAATATCTGAATTCATAAATGATATTTGTGTCTGTAATTTGGATCTTGCAGGTAAGTAGTAATTGTTAACTATAAGGTTAGCCGTTTTATATTTTTTTTTAGTAGATAGTTTAATTTTGGCATCTGTCTATATTTCTGAGATGAGGTATTATGTACACTATTTACATTATTCGCACAGATGCTAGGACAAAAATCTCCTGAGCCGACTAAGCATAGAAATGAATACAATATGGGAACCAATAATAAGGAGTGCCAGAAAAAAAATAATAACAACGAAAAATTGTAATATGAGCACTAGTAGTAAAAACATGGAATGATAACAGCAAAAATTGCAATATGAGCACTGTGGAAAAAAACGGGTGCTGAACATGCGGGTTTATAATACTGTGAAAATTCATACACAGGATGTCTTCAAGGGACACAGTGTACAGTGGATAAATAGCATTAGTTAGATCCAGTTTGAATCCCAAAGATTAGGGTTCAAAACCTGGTTAAGGCAGTGGAGAACTTGGAGAGAGGGGAATTAACAGGAGATTGTAACTGACATCCATTAAACATGGCACATGGAACTAGAACAGTCTACCCCAGCGAGCGAAATAAAGGGTTGAGTTCAACATTCCAACCACCTGAAGAAGGCCAGAGTGTACAATGGCCGAAACGTTGTAATAAATATGGCAACAAAGATAAGGACAATAGTCCAAATATTGTAAATAGTTTAATTTTTGTTCTGGTTGACTGGAGTTGTGTATTTCTTTATAATGTATCCAAGGGAAAATTTATAAGCAGGATGAATTTTGCCTTAGAAACATTATATAGAAATACACAACCCCAATTAACCAGAACAAGAAAATAAAATAATCTAAAGTGACCAAAAACAACACCCTTGGTTGATCCAAGTGTTGATAGTGAAATTGAGTAGACAATTGTTTGGAGATGTTGATATTTGTGCAAATATGAAATTACAAGTCATCATGACCAAGGGTTTCAGCATACTGGCTTTATTCAAGAAATTGATCATGTCAGATTATGTACTCCCTCCCAGAAACTCTAAGTAAGCTCCGCTCAGCATAGTTGCTGTATAAACCACAGGTTTATTCAGTGATTAGAGCAGACATTTTTAAGAGAATTTGGATAGCCACCCTGGCAGACAGATGTGCTCAGAAACAAGCAGTAGTCAGCCATTATTATTTTTTTTTTTTTTATATTAATATTTGAAACGGCCATGTTAACAGAGAGTCCAATTGCAGACCAGTCTGTGTTTATTGCATAGGTCAAGAATCTGTTTACCTTTCTTCCTTCTTGGTCTGTGTGATGGTGCTGAAAGCACTCTGAGAAGCATAGGTGCCATCAGCAGTTACCAATTTCTGCATGGCACCAGCAGGAGCGTGAACATCTGAAAGATATAAAAGGTTTCAATAAGAATATTCCAATTCCTTTGACAGTTGCATTGTCAGTAAGTTGTCCAAAAATAAAATTAAAAACATTTAATAAATGAACCCAAAATAAAATTCAGTTATTAACATGTGAAATAAAAATGCTAAGTACAATTTTATGATTTCCTGAGATGAGGATTTTATATATATATATATATATATATATATATATATATATATATATATATATATACATACAGACACTAATTTTTCTTTCGTGCCATCAAAATTGACACCAAGATGGAATGTATTATAAGTAATTTTCATTTAATTAATCCAATCACTCCTTACATCTGGCCACCTAACTCCCCAGACTACAACCCGCCTTGATTATTATGCGTGGGGTGCTGTTGAGCGAGACCAACAAAACTCCTTGTAACACCAAAGATGAACTGAAGGCAAGGAGCATGGCAGCATTCAGTTACTTAAACAAGAGACCATTGAGAAGAGTTGCAGGAGATTCTGAAGTCATCTGGAGGCCGTGGTTCAAGCCAATGGCAATTTTATTGAATAAATTTACTCTTTAATATTTCAAGATATTTATCTGTAATTTTGATAAATATATCTGTTAAAATGAGATGTCAGTGTTATTTTCATTCATTCATTCATATATATATATATATATATATATATATACACACACACACACACAATTCAAATCTGATTGCAATATGCATGAAACTCATTGTGCTACTGGTAAAGAAAGATATGTATATCTATTATTAATATATATCAAGGGAGGCATGGTGGAGTACTGGATAACGGGTTGTATTGTGGAATCAGAGAATATAAAAAAATATAAAACAGATAAAATTTCCAAGTGGAGATGGAGACGTTAGAAGAATGAGGTTAAAGTAAGTGCTCATATGATTCAAGTATATGGAGAAATGTCCCTGCCCCCTACCAGCATGGTTGATACACAAGAGCACCTCCCTGCACCTTCTTCGGTCTCACATTTTCTACTGACCTGACGTGAGACAACTACATTGAATCAATAGCTGCATCTACTGCAAGGAAAGTTGGTTCTCTGTGTCATGTCAGAAGGTTTTTCTCGTCAAGTCCATCCTTCAAATCTACTATTTATCCATGCATTGAATACTGTTGCCATATATGGTCTGGTGCCGCTGCTGTTCATCTTGAGATTCTCGACAAAATCCAAAAACGGATATGCAATGTGATTGGTCCTGACCTGGCATCTCGACTCCAGTCGCTTTCACACAGACGTGCTGTGGCTTCTTTCTGTTTTTTCATATAAATACTTTCATGGCAATTGCTTGACAAAATTTTTCTCTTGCCCGACTGCATGAATTTAAAGTGCTACTAGGTTGGCATCTCAGTCCCACGCTTTTTTGTTGAAATAGTTAAATGTAAATACCTACTATATCCAAAATCTTTTTGTTTCAGGTTCCTGACAGTGGAACTCTCTTCTTATTTGTTTCCCCTGATAATTATAATTTCAAAAAATTTAAATGCAAATTTCAAAAAAACAACTGATCAGGGCATCATATATATCCAGTCTTTTCTCATCCTTTTTTAAATTTTGTAACCTTTGCATGCTAGTGGCACTCCTGCCTGACTTGGGGTGAAATTTAAAAAAAAAAAAAAGTTATGTAACCACTGTTCCTTAATGAATTGTTAGCTATTGTTGATGGCAACACATTTGCAGATCCTTTTTTCCTTGAGGATCCCAATTAAAACTCATAAATCATCTTTTCTTTTCCCCAGCAAATAAAATTTTGATGAAAATCATCTACAACAGGAATCAACAAAGTCAACAAATTCAGTTTTACTAACACAAAACACACCAGTTAAACTGTTAATATTTAACAATTAATAAAAGGGTATATATAAAAAAAAAAAAAAAAATTGCTTGAAATTTATTATATTTATGAGGGAAGAGTTCTCAATGTTAGAAATACATCATTTATAGATAGTGCAGACAGAGGAATTAACACTACCTGGTGACTGTCAGTTTACCACATCAAGTGATCTTCAGACCAGAAGTCACTACCCCTTTGGCAGTGTGAAACCAACAATCATCACATAGTGTTGATTCACATGCCTGCACTGTCTATATCAATAAATGATTTCTCAAAGATTATATATATATATATATATATATGAATGAATTTCTAAAGAATTAATGGATTTATTTTTAATCTAATATTTTTCAGATTAAAAATAAACACATGAATTCTTGTTTAATAAATAAAAATGGGGTATTTATTCCAAATAAGAAGTATCCACTATAACAGGGTTTCCCACCAGTGGGCCAACTGGAAATTTTGGTGGGTGATATAGAATTTTGAGTATTAAAGACATATTTCAACATATGCTACTTGAAAAGAAAAATATTCAAAGGATGCAAAGAACCTGTATAAAACAAAACAACAAAAAAAAAAAACAGTAGGCTAATTGGGAATAGCTGGATCATAATCCTAGGTTAAGATAAATCCCCACAAACAGTGAATATTTTGTTAATTCTGGGAACAGTCATTAACACTTAAATAGTTCTTCAGAAGAAATAACACATTTTCGGATATAAATCAAATAAGAGAAGACCAAGAACAGCAAAAAATATATTTGCTGAATTTTTATTTGTAGCTAATCATGTATATTCTTTTTAATTTTATGATTATGAACAAAAAAATTGTTTAATTTTTACTCAATACTTGCAACGCTAAACTTAAAACTGAATTATATACATGTAGTTTTCACTGATCAAGTTTGCTTAAAATTTGTTCTTTAATATGGTAGTAACAGCAGCAGACACAGCACAAGTCAGCATTTTTGTTACTACATCATAAAGTCAATTTATGAACCAGTAACAAACATTTACCAATTTTGGTATGCCCTTGAATATTTATTATAATGGTGGGCAGTGGAAAGTTTATCCCATGTGAAAGTGGGTGATGATGCCAAAAAAATAGTAACCTCTGCACTATAATAACATTTGAAATTATATATATATATATATATATATATATATATATATATATATATATATCTATTAAATTGAGATGAGATCCAGGTTCGAATTTCACCATGGTTGATTTATCGGGAAGGTGACTTCTTGATATTATTGGTCTGGAGGAGGCAATCCCATTGTGTGGCACCTTTGAAAAGTGCCTGAAAACCACACCAGGGTTGGCCCAAACCTTGTGAGTGAAATTGGCTAAACAGAACCCTTGGGAGCCGTTGGTGGTTGTGCTAGCACAAAATCACAAGTCATCATGACCGAGCCTTTGAGTGTTATAGCCTTGTTCAGACTGCTGATTATGCTAGATAGCGCGTTCTTTCCCAGAAACTGTAACGAAGGCCCACTCAGCATAGTTGCAGTATAACCCACAGGTGGACTGTGAATGCTGAACAAACACAAATGTATCTGAGCAGGCATCTGCAACAGGGATTAGCTAGCCAGTCTAGTAGACTGGCATCCTCAGATTTGAGTGGGTGCATCATTTACTTCACTAATTTATAGATAGATAGATATAGACAGACAGACAGCGATAGATACATAGATAGACAAACAGACAAGGAAAAAAAAACTTTTCTTTACCAATGTGTTTTGTCCTCTGATGGACAAGGCAAATGGGATTATTAAAATGACTTTTGTCCTGATAAAGTCCATCAGAGGACAAAATGCATCAGGAAAGAAAACTTTCCTTTTGTCTTTAGTCATATTGTTTTTTTGCTGAAACCTCCTGAAGTGTGAACTGAACAATTACAAAAAGGTTTGTCTACAAAACCCTAACAGACGAGGTGCTGAATATAACATCAATCAGCTAAGTGACAAATTTCCTATTTGCATTAATCATTAGAATATATATATATATATATATATATATATATATATATATATATATATCTCATTTGATATACCCCTCTGTTCAACCAAATGGTTAGTATTAAGCTAGGACAGAAATTCCTAGCTTTAATTGAAAAACACTTTCCTACTAATAGTAGACTTAGTAAAATATTTAATAAAAGCACCCTAAAATTAAGTTACAGCTGCACTGAAAATCTAGAAAGTATAATAATAAAAAAAAAACACAATAATAAAATCCTGCATAAACCCCCATGCCAGAATAGTATTAATAAAAACCATACACTTAAATTAAACAAAAATAGTGAAAAATTATGTGACTGTAGAAACCCAGAAGACTGCCCATTGGAAAATAAATGCTGTGTAAAATCTGTGGTATACCAATGTACTATCTCATCCATTGAGAGTCCTAATACTAATATGATATACATTGGGTCTACAAAGAATGAATTTAAAACCAGATGGAGGCAGCATAAGTGCTCCTTCAACAATATAAATAAAAGAAATCAGACATCTCTATCTAAATATTTTTGGCATTTGAAGGAAATGAATAAAACACCAAAAGTAAAATGGAAAATTATAAACAAAACTAGAACTTGTAAAACTTGGGATGACCCATGCCCTTTATGCCTACATGAAAAACTACACATTATTAAGTTTCTAAACAATAAAAATCTATTAAACAATAGACATGAGTCAATAGTTTTTTGCAGACATCATCAAATTTTTGCATTGAATAATTAGCATAAAAACAAACAAACAAAATAATTTTTAAATTCCATAGTCTAAATAAATAGTTTAAATGCCCTAAGAAAAAAAAAAGATAACCCTTTATGAAGTCGTCAAAAAAATAAATGTTAGCGACTTATGACAGTTTTTTTTTTAAATACACAAAAGCCTTTCAGGAAAAAATAAAAAAAATAAATAAATCTCCATAGACACTTAACCAGACTAGACGATGTCATCTTCTGCTTTAAATTTAGGCACCCCAACCTTACCCTGTCTTGACGTCTTTGAATGTAACTTAAATATTGATACAAATTATTAACCCTTACGCCCCTTTTCTTTTAAACAATTGCTCTAGCCGTTACCATAGTAATTTTAATTTTTTAATAATAAAACACGTAAATTTCT